ACATTGCTAGATCTCCTATCATCTCTAAGTTTCTCTATTAGACATGATAAATGACAGCTTACTCCACCATCTAGGTGCAAATATACCAAGGCTTTATTTTCGACTCACAATCAATCCAACAATCCATTCCTCCAAATAAACAGAGGGCTCTCTTGTCTCTAATCCAGACATTTTCCCAAATCGCTCTGTTCCATAAAATACTTCACGAATATGATCGGATCGCTCGTTTCAATCTTTCCGGCGATTCAATATAGTCCCCTGTACACCAAGAAATTTGAAAGAGAGAAGTTTTTGGTCCTTCTCTCCTCATCTGGAGACTTCTCCAGCAAAATGATAATCCCTTCTTATTTGCAGGACGACTTTAATCGGTGGCTTAAGGCTCTCTCCAACACCAAGCAATTCAATACCATCCATTCGAAGCCTTTCGTCCTCGAAATTTTCTCAGACGCGTCCTCGACAGACTGGGAAGCCGTTCGCGGCGATCAGCAAACGCACGGATGGTGGTCCCCGGGGGACAGTCACCTGCACATTAATGTATTAGAACTGAAAGCGGCTTTCTATGCCCTAAGATGCTTCGCCGGCAATTTCAAGGACTCTAATATCCTCCTCTGTATCGCAACACCACGACAATCTCCTACATAAACAAATTTGGATCTATTCAACATCCTCTAATATCGGACGTCGCTAGGGACATTTGGTCTTGGTGTGAGAAATGGAATATTTATCTTTTTGCAAGCTACATTGCGTCAATTGACAACGTGGTCGCTGACGCAGAATCGCGCCTCTCTAGCAGAGATACGGAATAGTTCCTGTCGACATCAGCCTTCAATCAGATCATTCGGTCACTTCGACATAGACTTCTTTGCATCACTAATTAATGCAAAGGTCGAAATTTATGTATCCGAGATTCCGGATCCAGGTTCCTGGACGGTAAACGCGTTCACCCTGGACTGGCGCCCTTGGTGTTTCTATTTCTTTCTCCCCTTTTTCATTATGCTCCACAGGGTTCTACGAGAAATATGGGACGATAAAGCGACACGGGTGTTCGTGGTCCCCTGGTGGCCATCTCAATCGTGGTGCCCCCTATTCCGCCGTTTAGTGGCCTCAGACATGTTGTCTTTCGCGTCTTCTTATTCTCTCTCATCTTCTCCTTCCAGGTCTCACCATCCAGAGTGGAAGAACCTTTCCCTAATAACTCGTAGATTATCAGGCAAGCATTCCTAGCGCGTTCCGTCCCTGTCTCAGCCGTGGACGTTCTAATTACCCTTCTTGCTCTAGACACAATCAAGCAGTACGCTCGTCCGCTAAGCGACTGGTGGGACTTTTGTCAAAAAAATCAAATCGCACCATCTGCTCCAGAGTTAAACAACGTCCTCGAATTCTTATTGCAGAAGCTTGGAAGCATAACCTCTTACTCGTTCAACTATTTCCCTCATCTCACACGATTATTGGCAATCACTCATTAGTTAATCGTTTCGATAAAGGTGTTAGCCTCATTAAGCCGCAGAAACCGCGCTATGAATTCATCTGGGACCCAGCTCCGGTCATTTCTAATTTAGCAGAAATATTTCCGTATGACCACTTTTCATTAGATATTATCACAAGAAATTAGCTCTTTTTTGACCCTAGGCTCAGGTCAACGCGCACAAATCTTAGCGGCAATAAGAATCTCCCAGATTTTCTGGGACGAATCCAAAGTAATTATTAAAATTCTGGATCGAGTGAAAACCTCAGCTCCCGGTCGGCCTCAGCCTATGTCTTTCTTTTTCCGTTTCGCCGACCACCCGGATTTATGTTTTATGACAATCTTGAACCACTATCTGCGACTTACCAAGGACATTCGAATGCTCGATTGCGACTCACTCTTCATTGCGTGTGTGAAACCACACAGAGCTGTCAGCCGCTGGATACGCAAGGGAGAAGTGTGGAGTACAAAGTGACACTTTCTCGACCCATAGCACTCGACACGCCTCCACTTCCTGAGCCAAAACAAAAACAAAACAAAAAACAAAAAAAATACTCCCAAGTCTTCGAGAACGTCTACAATCGACCCTCAAACGTTTTGTAATTCCATTCTTTTAACTGCATTAACCGTACCCTTAATCTCTAAGAGCTTATGGATACTCAGCATTTCTTCATTCAAATAGATGCGGCGCTTTCTTCTTGTACACGAAGCTATGCATATGCATTAAAAGGATTTTTAGTCGCAAATCTGGCCGTAAACATCTACTTAGTTAAAACGGGGAAATTGAGGGCATCTACCACGAACGTTCGTTGTTTTTCAGCGAAACTTGTCTTAAGATAAATACATTAAGAATTACAATAAATAAAAATATAAATGTTTCGGCTTCAGATTAGGCCATCCACAGTATATAAAGTCAAAAATATAAAATTCACAAACGTAAATCTAAGTTATTTCTTTTAACATTAGATTTACGTTTGTGAATTTTATATTTTTGACTTTATATACTGTGGATGGCCTAATCTGAAGCCGAAACGTTTATATTTTTATTTATTGTAATTCTTAATGTATTTATCTTAAGACAAGTTTCACTGAAAAACAACGAGCGTTCGTGGTAGATGCCCTAAATTTCTCCGTTTTAATATTGACCATGTATTTATTTATTATCTACATAGTTGTCTATCCAGACGAGACCTTGGCTAATTTGAAGATTAAACGAACTTCTGCAAAGTGAAGTTCGATCTTAATTATGCCTTGTCTCGTCCGAATGGACCTCTCTCACCCTAAGCTTCCATACGCTTCTTCCCTCCCAATAAACGATTTGCTCTGAGTCTTTAAATAATGAAGCATTAACATGGCGCGATGGCGCAGTGGGTAGCGCCGGCGATGCAAGCGCCGACCCTTTTTACTTTATTCTGGGAATTCTGTTGATAAGGCATGCACGAAGACGTGACTACATAGTTGTCCATCCGTTCGAGACAAAGCATAATTAAGATCGAACTTCACTTTACAAGTTCGTTTAATCTTCAAATTTTCAATACCCATCGAATTTAGCGATTTCTAGCTCGGGGCGTAAAGCGCTTGGTTATTGCAGTGAAAATGCTGTATACTGTGGATTCTAATTTTGATTTTTTACACCTTTTTTAAACGGCATAATGAAAAAAATAAATAAGAAATTAGATCTATTTTTTCTATATGTAGCGATTGCATCACTATCACGGTTATAATAATCCATGAAAGACTCCTCGGGGAATCTTTAGACAGGGTTAAAAAAGTTGGTCATATAATGAGTGAATATAAGAATATATATTTATTATATATACCGATTATTGTGAACAATATTACTAAGGCCTCGGTGGTCTAATGACTCGTACGGAATATAAGAGATCCGGGTTCGACTCCCGACCGAGGTAATATTTTTCGCAATAAGTTTAATTACAGTTTTTCAGCATATCAATATCTTTGAAATATGATGCCTGATTGAGCATCGAAATTATTAGAATTTAATTTAATTCGCGAAATTACTACAGTGGTTTAATTGTGTTTAGTCCGGAAATATTTCGGTGCACAGTTCGTTAGACTACAATTGTGGTATGTATGCCAAATACGTATATATCATATTTAGTGATTCAAGATTGAATTATTTAAAGCATTTTAAGATCTAGCTTAGACCGTATAGGGCTCTTATTTATCGGTTGCGTCTCTCACATACGAGAGAGGTCTAAAAATGATATTATTATTATATATTTATTACATTTTCAAAATCCAGAAAATTGTCAAAAGCAGTATCGATTTATATCAGATTTAATTTTTACAAAATAACGTGTTAATATAAAAATTGGGTTTATTAAATGTTGTCATTGTTCAAAAAATTTTATAAGGTTTTTATAATCTATATCATACTCAAACATATAACCGAAAATTTCAAGAAGTCAAAATAAGAAAATATTGTTATATTGTAACAAATATAAAAAATATTATGTATCCTACTTATTCTGTTGGTCCATTATTATAACTTTTTAAAAATTCCTTTTATTTGAAAATATTTAATAGAAAAAATATATAAACAGATATATACATATATATATAATTTTCTAAATCTAAGTAAAGTACTTGAGCCGAATAAGGCCCACCTAACTTATTTTATTTTTATTTTATTTTATTTATAGGGATATTGAAATAAACTTTGTAAGAATAAAATCTTTATTCTAGTAACTTTCAAAAAATATTATATATACATCTTTTATGGAAAAGATTTTTAAATAAACAAACAAAATATTTTTTTTAAATCTGACTTTGGACCTTATTCCATGCATATGTATGTAATAAAGCCCGATCACACATAAACGAACAATAAACGTTTTTTTAAAAAGAAACTTTGTTTTTTAAAATAACAAATAATCTTTGGTAATCGTCTTTGACATTTTTATTTTAGATAACTTTAACTCGATAAATTTTAACTTCAAAATATTAACAGCATTGAAAATCTGTATCTTGTGGTGTAAGTCCCATACATAACTCGTGGTACCATTTATTACATTTAGTACATTGCCTCATATCCTCCATATGATCTTCTTTATATGCCGTACAGTACCAAGTAACTGTTGGAGTAGAGTGATAGCTTTAGATGTTGAAAGTTGATCTGACTTTTTGTCATATTGCTTCTTGAAGAGATCTTTAGTTACCTTTTGTGCTTAGTAATTTAATGCTTTTTTTCTTTGCAAGCTCCCAGCTGAGAAATCTTTGCGTATTGGAGTTGTTATAAGTTTTTGGAACGGCGTTTTTGAAACAATCGATTTATTTTCTTTATTCTTGTTTAATAATTCGGCTAATGGAATGTCTTCATCATCACTGACTATTAATGAATTTACCGCTATGTTTGGAGTTTGATTTTCTATTGTTGGACGCTCTGTTAGAACTGATGGAGCAAAAGTAGAGTCTAGAATAGCTTCAGGATCAAATGGATACAGCCCTACACCTCTAAATCCATTTGTTATATTAGATTAAGTTATGCATTTCGACCACACTTCTGAGAACACTATATTAAGCTCGTTTTGTTGAATTTTCTATCTGGATGTTTATCTTGATATTTTAGAAATTCCTGGTTCCAATGATGCTCAAAAGATCTATAAACTGATTTGTCAAGTGGTTGTAATTCATGGGTAGTATTGGATGATAAACAATACAGTACAATATCGTGTTTGTCAGCGGCTTCCACAATTGTGTAATCAAGGTGAGAGGCAGCACCATCGAAAACAAGCAGAATCTTTCCAGCAGGTTTGAAAGAAGCAAAGTGATTCAAGAATTTTATAAAAAGCTCAGTAGTCATGAAGCCTTTTGGTGCCATGCTTATTGTGCTTCCTGGTAATAAATTATCAGCGAACTCTGGCTTTTCGCGTTTACCTTTAAAGATAATCATAGGTGGTATCATGTTACCTATAGCTGACACACAACCAACTACAGTGACATTTTCAGCATGTTCGTTTGCGATGAAGTGGACGCGTTTAGCACCTTTTTGAGCTAAAACAGTTGATGATGCATCGTCAATCTACAGTCTTTTTCGTCCATGTTGAAAATCCTTTCCGGCTTAAATTTTATATCTAGCTCTGTCAAAAGGTTATTAAGCTCTTCAAAGTGGTCTTTTACAATAAATTTGTTCAATTTTTGAACACACGAGCTTGGTTCATAAATTGTGCCTTTCTTTTCGAAATTTCAGGATTGCGTTTCAGAAATGCTGTAAGCCATGATCTGCCTGCTGTGCAAGTAATAGTGTTAAACGTATGAGGAATTTCATGTAATGTGCAAAACTTGTATACTTGTAAACAGTATAAAACGATGAGAATAAATTTAATCAAATAAGAGAAATTCTACATTCAATCAAAATAGATCTTAGTAATGAAGTATTTCTGTTAATTATATTAACGTTTAAGCAGTAAAAACTGCTTTAACAGAATATATACAGGGTGATTCAGACCACCCGGAGATGCCGGTACGTACATATTCCTCATGAAAAATTGAATCGAAAATGTTAATAGCAAAATGTTGTGGGGTCAACAATTTTTAAATAGTGAGCCTTTGAAATCTTCCAATCACAGGACGTGAAGTTCGCGCCGTCAGGTGCGACTGATGTTTGTCGACTGATGTTTTGAATATTATTTATTTAAATAATTTAATTAATATTGATTTTATTCATTAAATTGTTTATTATTTAAAATGTTCGAAAAATACATACTTTTTTATTGATATAAATGATGTTTGCTGATAATCGAATTTGCAATTGCGACATTACTTTTCGTCAATTAAATTAGACTCAATTTAAACATACAGCAGTAAATGTTAATAAAGATTTCAAAACTTTGCAACTTTTACTCATTCGGCATCGTGTGGTTTAACGGTATCCATCAAAGCGCTCTCGCGGCTGGCGCTTGGTTGCGCTGCACCTGACGGCGCGAACTTCGCGTCCTGTGATTGGAAGATTTCAAAGACTCACTATTTAAAAACTGTTGACCCCATTTTGCTTTTAACATTTTGCTATTAACATTTTCGACTCAGTTTTTCATGAGGAATACGTACGTACCGGCATCTCCGGGTGGTCTGAATCACCCTGTATATATCTTTCATTAAAAAATCTAAATAAGCAAAAATAATTTCTCTTATTTAATTAGATTACATACCTGATATTTTAACATCTTCAAAGTTATAGGTAAGCCAATATCTGCCATTTGCAAAATCCGCTGTGATAAATCTTTCTCTTGCTCTATAGTAAGAGTATTCTTCCGTCCTAGACGCTTTAAAGGTGTTAGAGTAGCGCGATATACAGGTTCCAAGAGTGAGTCAACTGGCAAAGGTTTATTAAACACACTAGAGCAATTTATTTGATGTAAATCGTACAAACCATTACTTTATGAATACGCTGCAATAAAAGGCGCGTGCGTGAGCGAGAGACGCCATGTATGAAGAAGCAAAAAGAACATGAATAACATAAGTTGTAGAATGTAAAAATAATACAGAAAGAATGTTACGGCGCTGATGACGCCATGAAAAATATTATGAACTATTGAGAGATTAGGGCGCTAATTGACGTGCTCTAACAAAAGGTGTGCCAGATTTCATATGATTACGCAAGGTCCTACGAGGAATTCCATACCTTTCGCAAATAACTCTCTGTGAGAGCTTATTCCACTCAACTGCTTTAAGAGCAGCTTCCATGGACTCTGTGTTCCAACTCTCAGCACGTTTTTTTATTTGCGTCTTTTTAGTTTTAGCCATAATATTATCTTTAATAAAAAAAAGTGAATATTAAAGTCACTTATTCAGTCAACAAAATCGCAAAACAATCAATAAATTACAAAATATTCAATAAATTGAAATTAAATGTATCTACATTAAGAATGCGTTTTCAAGCTGACACCGTATAAGCACCAGTTTATCCTTGTTGTCCATCAAATATCAGACAAGGAAAAATGATGCTTACAAGCACTGTAAGCGCAAAACGGAATGCACTCAATGTGAAAGCAAATTGTACACAAAATCGAGCAAGCTTATTGATATAGCCTTACATAACCTAATATGTCAGATTATTAATAAGTTTTGCATGGAATGTGCGACATTATGTCCTATTACATCAGCAGATTTTGTTATATATTTGCTAATTATCATTCAGTATAACAGACTTTACATCAAATTTAGTACCTTTTCGTTGACAAAATTTATATCAAACGAGCTCTTGTTTTGAAGACTTAGCAGAATGGCGACCATTGACTACGTTTACACCGTGCATTTAGGCCGCGGCCTATACAATAGATGTCCTTGTTTATCCTGTAGGTTAAACAAAGACACCTATTGTATACGTCTGTGAAGCTAGCATATCATATATCAGCATCGCATGAAATGACACCAGTTCTGGTCGCATCCACAATAGTTCTACAGTTCTATATCGGTTTTATCAATAGTTCTATCGAATTACGTCCAGAAACAACGATTTAAAAAATGAGATGCTAACTTCCCATCTTACTATCCAGCATCTCACCGGATTTCGAACGTATGAGGTGTAAAGTACAAGAATCCAAAGAGTTCTATCGTTAAAACTTAATACATCAATAGTTCTGGCTATAAAACCAAAAAAATTGTCCAAAAACGATACATATTAATACATACAGGTGATATGCTGGCCGACCAGAAATATTGTTCTGATTATTTTATTGCAGTTTTAATGTATAATAGTTCCGACATCGTTTGAGTGTTTTTTAAAGAGTTTCGGCGATAAATATTGCTAGAAATTTTTTAAACAATTTTTATTGCCCGAAAACGATACATATTAACACGTACAGGTGATATGCTTCACAGACGTCTATTGTGTGTCTGACAGTGTAAACGTAGTCATTGTTATGGTTATGGTTTATACATGATGGAATTATATTCCACCATGGGTTTATACATCTAATAAGGCCCAGAAGTCATTTTAATGGACCTTATTTGATGAGTGTGTCGTTTCTAAATAATATATTTATTCTAAAAAATTGATAAATATATTTGTCATTTTTATTGATTAGGAAGTTGAACAATATTACTGTTACGTCCAGACTCCACAGTCCTTTTCTTCGATTAGAATTTTCGTCATCACCATAAAGATTATTATCGGTAGACCATCTGTTTCTACCAAGGGAGTTACGATGGTGACGAGCCAATTAACACTCGCCTTTTGGACTAGTAATCCACTCGGGACGGAGTCGTCGAATTAAATATTCGAACCACGTGTCGAATAGAAGAACTTTATCCCGAGGAACAGAAGAAGTAAATAGATTAAGGATTATAAACCGAAACGGCGGTTGTCAATAATAA